TTCGATTTAAGTAAAATCGAATTACCCTCGTAGTGTAGACATACCCTTAGAGACTAACAAATTTATTAGAGCATAAGCTTTCGTGGGCTACAGCCGAAGAAGTGGGCTGTAGCCCACGAAAGTTTATGCTCTAATAAATTTGTTAGTCTCTAAGGTGCCACAAGTACTCCTGTTCTTTAAGCTAAAGGGGCAGCTTTCTGCAGAGACAAGTTTCAGCTCCTTCTCTCTCCACTAATAGAGCTGTTAACTGTGGGCTGTGAGGGTTCTTGCAGAAGGTGCCGAAGCTATGTTAATATGCAGGATGCCCACACAGCATGTTCACTGGAACCATCTACCATTTATTGCTATGTACAACAAGCTTCTAGTAAAAAGAGTCAGGTTCATTGAGAAGTAAAGTGGGCCAACTGGCTAAGTGGAGGACTGGCCAGGCCCCAGAAAGTGCTGATAGGTCTGAAGGAGAAGATCGCTAATAATAGGCCAGTAAGAAGAGAGCAGGCCAGTGGCTTCTGTCAGAGGGAGCAGAGCTGTTTTGGGACTTGGCACGATGTGTATGCACTTCCTCCCTGGTTTGCTGAATCTGCTAGCTGAAGTCCATATCTGGAGGGGATCAGCTGGCCTGGGTCGGTTCTGGTGTGTAGTCAATGGTTGGCAGACACAAATCCCTATGATGTTAGGCCTTGCAGTGCTTGGGAATCTCTGAAGCTGCTGTAGGTTTGCAGATGTAATGTGTGGACTCAGTTCAGAAATGTTAGCTCTCTGAAGCCGCTGTCGAAAGAGCCTTGTAAAGAAGGCAGGTAATAGATCTGCCTTGCAAAACTGCCTTTAGAATTTATCATCCCAGGGCACAAACTCAGCTCACCCACTGGTACCAGGAGGCTAACAGAGATCCACAAATGGTTACTTGCGTATCAAAAAATCTGACTCTTCCCCCAGCAAGTGAATTCAGCATGGCTGTGAAACGGGATGCAAAACTCCGTGATATGTGATGTGCTGTTAAATCCCGAAGAGAGCTGGGGCTTTTCAAAGAAACTCTGTCCTGCAGAACGTCTTGACATGCCTGTTATTAGTTCAGATCTGAACTGCCTGTGTAGAGGTTTCACACGCTGGGGAATTTCTGTGCCCATGAACAAGATCCCCACATTTCGTGTATGATCTTTTCAGCAGGAATGTGCGTGTCGGTTCTCCCACCCCTTGGCTAGATTCATTGGGGGGGGGGGGGGGGTCACCTTCCTCTCAAACATTTTTTACAGAGGGAAAAGATTCTGAACTAGATACTACTAACATGCCAAGTTGTATGGTTATAAGGCTTATTATCCACCAGCTCTCTGCGTTTGAACTCTGTTTACATATTCCAAGTAACTTAGGCCTTGTCTACACTACAAAGTTTTGTTGGCAAAAGTTATGCTGCTTTAATTAAAGCGTTTTAATTAAAACTAGGGCTGTCACGCGATTAAAAAAAATGGTGGCCAAAGCATGAAGGGACATCCGAATGTTTAGCATATCTGGCATGTAAATACCTTGCAATGCCACCTACAAAAGTCCCATGCAAACGCCTGTTCTCACTTTATTGTGACATTGTAAATAAGAAGTGGGCAACGTTATCTCCCGTAAATGTAAACAAATCTGTTTACCTTAGCTATTGGCTGAACAAGAAGTAGGACTGAGTGGACTTGTAGGCGCTAAGGTTTTACAATGTTTTGTTTTTGAGTACACTTATGTAACAGAAAAAAAATCTATATTTGTAAGTGGCACTTTCACGATAAAGAGAGTGCAATACAGCAGGGGTTCTCAACCTTTTTCTTTGAGTTTCCCCCTCCCTCCACACACACACACACACACACACACATGCTATAAAAACTCCACGGCCCACCTGTGCCACAATAACTGGTTTTCTGCATATAAAAGCCAGGACTGGTGTCAGGAGGTAGCAAGCAGGTCAGTTGCCTGGGGCCCCATGCCACAGGGTCCCCCTCAAAGCTACATTGCTCAGGCTTCGGCTTCAGACCTGGGTAGCGGGACTCAGGGGCCCTGGGCTTCAGCCCCATGCAGTGGGGCTTCAACTTGCTACTCTGGGCCCTAGTGAGTCTAATGCTGGCCCTGCTTGACGGGCCCCCTGAAACCCGTTTGCGGGGCCCCCCCCACCCTGGGGGGCCCAGACCCATGATTGAGAACCACTGCAATACAGTATTTGTATGAGGTGAATTGAAAAATACTATTTCTTTTGTTTATCATTTTTACAGTGCATATATTTGTAATAACAAATAATATAAAGTGAGCACTGTACACTTTGTGTTCTATGTTGTAATTAAAATCAATATATTTGAAAATGTAGACAAACATCCAAAAATATTTAATAAATGTCAATTGGTATTCTATTGTTTAATAGTGCGATTAAAACTGCGATTAATCATAATTAATTTTTTTTAATCGCAATTTTTGAGTGAATCGTGTGAGTTAACTGTAATTAATCGACAGCCCTAATTAAAACCGCTGTTGCATGTCCACAGTAGCTCCGTTTGTCGGCAGAGTGCATCCACACGAACAGCTCTTGCATCAACACAGAGAGCAGTGCAACATTGTGGTAGCTATCCCACTATGCAACTGGCTGCAGGGTGCTTTGGGAAGGATTTGCAATGCCTCATGAGGGGGCAGGTATAGCATCCCATGATGCAGGTTTCTCAATCCCATTCTTCCAGGGGCTTCCAGTTCCTAGTAGATTGTCAGCTGCTTTTCAACTGAAGTGTGTCGGGGGAGGGAGAGGAGAGTGGTGTATCTGGGGCAGGGGAGACTTAACTTTGCCGCAAAAAGCTTTATGCCTGTCGTTGAGGTGGTTTTATTTTGTTGGCAGAAACAGCAGAGGTTTGCTGCCAAAAGTAGCTTTGTAGTGTGGACACCTCCCCTGTTTTGTCATGTAGACATGTCCGGGTGGCATCAGTCACTGTATTATCCAAGCACCAAAGCGTAGTATCTGCCTTTCATATCTGCTTATTTTACATGAGTTAAGATCCTACCTAGGTGTCTCCAAAGAGAATGTGCTTTTAACACTGATGGTGGGCACAAAGCAACATCTTCCCTTCTGAGCTCTGGATCGTGTTTCTCTTTCTTCTTTGCCCTTGGCTTGTATTTCAGAGATTGCCTGTGTCTCTTCAGCACTGCGGCCCAGCAGAGGAGTACGGGAGATGAGTGTGGACCAGAGGATCCCCGCGATGAGCCGAGACATCCCCTTTCTGAGCGAACTGTAGAGCTCAAAGCCAGCAAACTGGAAGAACAAGTCCGTGATTTAACTGTGAGTCTACCATTAGCAGCATCTTAGCCAAGGTATCCTCACGTCTTCAGGGTTCAGTCCCTTCAAAGTGGGAGGGCTCATTCATTTCACTGTTAAGCCACCTGCCTGAATACATTATAGATGACATCTTTTATCCCAAAGCTTTTCACCAACTTCACCACGGAAAGGCAGCCATCTCTGGGCTACAGGGTGGCAACCAGCTACTCTTGCGTAACATGAGGAGGCAATGCCCAGTTAGCAAAGTGCTTTATGTCCTCCTCCAAAACATCAGCTGTTGATTACTGCTGGAAGTAGGAGACCAGACTGGATGAACCGAGTAGTCTGATCCTGGCTAGCAAATACGGTGTTTATTAGAGATTCCCTGTTCAAATCTTTGAGTGTTGCCTGTTTAGACCTGCAGTAATTTTGCCTGTGTCTTGTGAGAATTCAAATGATGATGATCCTGATTAGCCTGGCCTTATGGCATTCAAGGATCACCAGGTCTTAGAAGGGTTTATACAACTCTGATAAATGTGCAAAATGATCCAGCTGAGGCAGGCCTGATGTGTAGAATGTATTGAGCTGCTTTCCTTAATTGAGGAGATGGTTTTCTATGCATTTGGAAATCAGCATCTGTTCTGAAATCCTGCTCTCTAAACTCTAGGTACAAGGTGTTGTAGCCAAGTTACTCTTGCTTTAGGTAGCAAAGCAGTGTTCCATTCCCTCTACCATAGGCGCCGACTCAGTGGATGCTCCAGGGCTGGAGCACTCACAGGGAAAAAATTGTGCGTGCTCAGCAGCCCCACGGATCAGCTCTCCCCACCCCACCCACCTCCAGTGCCTCCCGCCCGGCTGTCACGATCAGCTGTTCAGCGTCTTGCAGGAGGCAGTAGGGGGAAGAGGCAGGGGAGGGGGCGGGAAGAGGCAGGGGAGGGGGGAGGTTTGGAGGAAGGGGCTGAGTGGGGGTCCTGCACCCCTGGGGAAATCCCAAAGTCGATGCCTCTACCCTCGCCTTTATCCCTTTCAGTTCCTTCATCTTACCAGTTAATCACGCTCATCATTTTTAGAACAGAATCACTCATGGAATGGAATCACTCGCCTCATCTCTGTGAACTTGTAATCACCTCCTAGCTCACCCACTCCTTCTGCATTTCTAGACTTGGCCTCCTCCCTGTCCTCTCCCTCGGACTCTCCACAGTTGAAAGAGATGGCTGTTTCATTTGTGCTGCATCATCTTAATTGGAATGCCCTCATACTTCCACCTCAAAGCAATGAGTTACTTCCGTTCTGTAACCCTTCCCCCATTGTACTAATTTCAAGGGAATTAATGGGGTCAGAGATGTTAATGTGACCCTGTCGTAATCCAACATTAAACAGATCTCAGCCTGCTTCGTTTTATGGCAAACACATGAGTAAATTTTTTTTATCTTTTGTTAAAGATACAGAAAAGAAAGGAAAACAGGTATAGTATTATATAAGGCTTTCATTGTAACAACTTGTCTTGTTCCCTTTCCCTTTTTCCTTTAGTGGGGAAAATTCCCTGTCTGACAGTCTCTTAGATGGTATTAAAGATCCTAATAACTGTCCTTTTTTAGGGAAAAGAGAGAAAGTTAATTTGAAATGGGCTGGAGCTGCTGCTGTTATTGTTAAAGTCCAGTCCCATTTTCAAGAAGACAAAATAAGATACACACAAAAGAGAACAACAAAGATAGACAATGCAACTTCCATCTCTGGTATTGACTTTCACTTGCAACCTCACTATTGGAGAAACCAGAGGCATTGTACACTGTCTTATTAGCCACTCAGAGATCTGGCAAACTTGTACCAGCATCAGGCTGTTTAGGGCATTGCTTTTATCTGCCTCTCTGGTTTAAAGTGGTGTTGCAAAATACACAGTCTTGGCCAGCTAAGCCAGATTCTTATTAGAAGGAGAGTGGTAGGAAAGAGAAGAAATAAAGTGGGGAATGAAAAGGACACATTGGGTGGGTCTGGAGGTATGTAACAGTGTCACATCCCAGATGGTGGTTGGGATTTAGGCAGAGCAGGCGGAGGTGGTGATGTCATCTGAGTCCCTCTCTCTGGCCCAGTCTGGTCGGGGCATCTCTCAGGATCAGGATGGCCCAGTGATGTTACAGTAGATCGTGGGATCCCAGGAGACCATGATGGTAAAGCTCGCTTCAGCAGTTGCTGGCAACCAGCTGCTTCTTCTTGATATTGTTTTCCTCCAAAAGTCTTTTCTTTTAAGGATCTCAAAAGGGAGTGATGGGCAAAATAGCCCAACCCCTTATGTTCGCCAAGTAGGCTTAACCAAAATCCAGGTGCTGAAAATTAATTGATTTCCAGTTCAGAACTTCTCTTGTTTATCAGGCTTGATTGTAACCCAGTCCTTGAGTTACATCAGTAGGTCTTTTTGTTTGGATTAATTCAGCCTTTGTCTCCCTTTTGCATCTTTTCCCATCAACTTATATTATTATAGATTGTGCCATTTTATGAGCTTTCACTCACTCCTTACAGTTGATCTCACAATTAAGGTAAATTCATAGCCCCCATTACTGGCTGATGCTCTGAACCCCATTTATGATTTTGTATTGTTTACATTATTATCCATCAAGCTATAAGTTCCCGAGCAAATAGTAAATTAGCACACCACTAATGTATTAACTATATGAACTTCCACCCCAAGAAGGCTCCATGCTCCCTCATGGATATGCTGTCCCTGAAGGGCAACAGACTCTGGTCTGACAGACTAACAGGGCAGGCAAACAGCAGAGTTGAGAGCCCTCTCTTGAGATCAGCCTGCGCATCATCACTTTATGAAGGGTGCTACAAACAAATGCATTTTATTGGACTTCTCTATTGTCTCTACAATAGGGTGGCAAATGTACTGATGTGGCAAGTGAAAATAGAACTTGAAATATTGCAAAAGACTCTACTCCTGCTGACGCACTTTCTGAGAAATGTTTACTCCTCACCCAAACACACAGAGGGGTGTAGGTGTGTGTGTGGGTGTGAAAGAGAGAGGTGGGTCACCAGTTCTACGTTATCATTGGGGAGAGCATTTGTTAGCCTTCTATGGCTGTCTACACTAGAGAATTTTTACAAATATGCCACCCTGGCTAACACTGGTTCAGCTCCTGTGGTGTGAGCAATGTTGGCAGCCCTCTATTGAGGAGCCACCAGCGTCACAACTATTTTGAGCACTGTGATTAGACTTGTTCCAAACAGGGTTAATTCACATGGTACTAAAAAGAGCTAATCTTCCCTAGGGGTGCTACCTCTGCTAACACTGGTTCAGCTGCACTGGTGAGATTTTTTTGTTTGTTTGTTTGTTTTAGCTACTCCCTTGCGTAGAAAAGGCTAAAGAAAGGGAAAGATGCAGGGCCTTTCTAGAAAGTATCACCCTGACAGCAGCTATCTTCTGCACTAGCAAAGCATCAGCTGATGCAAATTCAGTACCCAGTCAGCTGCTAAGGGAAAGAATCCATCAAAAGCTGCACCTTGAATGGTCCAAGATCAGTAGCCTGATCTGATAACGCAGAATGGTCTGCTCAGCTGTGCCCAAAACCCTCCTGACCAGTGACTTGGGTACTGTTAATCTGCTCCTAGTTTTGCTGCCTCAAGCAATGGGAGAGGCCTTTGGGCATGTGTGTTCTTCCGAACTGGGGTGGCGGGGCCAGCATGAGCCGGTAACTTGCAGGGGGAGTATCTCTTTAAATAGACTGTCTATGTAGGGGGATGCAAGGTTCTACAGCAATAGGTGTGGCACTGTGATGGGTCACTCCCCTTGTCTAATGCCTGTGCCTGTTGCTGTGTGTGCAGGAGCGATACCGGAAAGCCTTGGCGGATTCGGAAAATGTCCGGAGGAGAACCCAGAAGTTTGTGGAAGATGCCAAGCTGTTTGGTAAGTGAAGTGCTGCTGGCACTATCTAGGAGCTGTTTGCTGCAGTGTGACTTGCTTGGCTAAGCACAGTTGGGAAACAGAGCAGAAAGTACAGATAAGCTGCTTCCTCTCCCCGTCCTTCTGCCCTTGTTCTTTTTAAAGCCTGTTGTGGTGTTTGGCCTGAAGTGACTGGTGGCTGGACTTGCTCGCTGTTGTGTCTGCATGGTCAGCCAAATCCTGTGGGCTTATTTTGGAGATAGCCCTATGGCTTGTTTCTTTTTTCCAAGGTTTGCTTTGTAACGATGATCTATACTAATAAATCATACCACCCTGTGGATTTTGGGAATGTACTTGTAAAATGCTTGCATTCAGCTGCTGAGCTGGTGTAAATCAGCATAGCTTCCTTGACTTCGTTGAAGATGATTTACACCAGCTGAGAATTGGCACGTTGAGTTTATTCCATGGTCTATGCAATGTCATGAAGCTGCGATCTCCTTTCTAGTACTGAGATCCCGTTCTTCCCTTCACCTCCATTGTGAAATTAATGGATGTAGTGCATGCTGGGATAGAGGCCATCACTTTCTCAATTAATGTATTCTTCTTAAAATATATGTAGTAAACTTAGTGTTGGTGAAATGGGCTGGATTGATAGCCCTGGAGACTGATATCCTTGATTATCACAGAGCAGGTGCAACATGAGAAACGGCAGAGCAAGCATTCCACACTCTGTCCTGTCAATGTACTTTAATCCTTCTGTGAAGGGACCACCTCTAGGGGTGAAAGGATAGTTCAGTCTCCATGGAGAATCCAGTCCTGGGCACCTCTGCTTAGACTGTCATCATCAGAAATGCTAGTTGTGGTTTTATGTGATGTGGGTACCTGTCAGCTTGGAACTGGGCTGAGTCCACCATCTCATATCACTTAGGCTGCCAAGCAATCATCAGATGGTAGCACTCTAGGATACTACTGGTATGACTTTGATTCAGACCTGAAACCGAAGGGTAGAAAGCTCTGTAGGCCATATCAGTCCTAGGAGTTTTCTTTTTTCTCATTAGTTAACGCTTATCTGAAGGCTGCTGGAGCTTATCCTGAGTTAGAGTGCCTATATTTCCTTTGCTTTGTGCCTGCCTGGTCTGCTTGGAAGTAGCTATTACATTCAGGGTCCATCTACATTGTTGGAATTGGACTAGGCCCAGATGCAAGACTACATACACCAATATCTGATCTGCTATGGATGCTTCTTTGTAACTCTCTTCTTTCTCCTCCTCCTACTTATTGGTTCTCTACATAGCTCTCAAACCTATATATGAAGGAGTATGCAGCATTTAATTGTTGCTTATGTCTTCCCCTTTCCTCTCCCATCTATCTCAGATCCCTTTTTGTTATGTTACTCAGTGAACATGTCCCTACCACCTGAGAGGGGGAAGGTTTCTGTCAATCTTCATATCAGATTCTCTGCAGCCAGAAATATACAGCTGCCCAAAATTTATACAAACTGAGCCAGGTTTCCTAAATGGCAACAAGCTTTGGATTCTATACCATGGCTAAGTACAATTCCGAGGTCCCAGTCTCGGGAGATGCCGAATGCCCTCCGTTACCATTGAAGTGGGAGCTGAAGGCAGTCATCTCTTAGGATCAGTCCCTTCCAGTGGGGCATGGCAACATGCCCAGGGCTGATGCTGGAGCCTTGCACTATCTACCACTGAACTGACATTGCTTAACATCCTGCCTATTTGTGTGTGTGGCTGCAGGGATCCAGAGTTTCTGCAAGGACCTGGTGGAGGTAGCTGATATCTTGGAGAAGACTACTGAGAGCGCTGCAAGAGAAGCAGAGCCTACTGACCCAAAACCAACCCTCAAGAAGATCTATGAAGGCCTCTCCCTCATAGAGGCCAAGTTGCAAAGTGTATTTGCCAAGCATGGCCTTCAGAAGATGAACCCCGTCGGTGGCAAATATGATCCATACGACCATGAAATAGTCTGCCATGTGCCAGCAGAGGGAATGCAGCCAGGCACAGTGGCACTAGTGACTCAGGATGGCTATAAACTCCACGGCCGCACTATCAGACACGCACATGTTGGTGTGGCAGTAGAGTCGCAGGAGTGATGTGGTGGGTGCACCCATTGCGATCTGGGACCTTAATGAGCTGAGGACTCGGTCACACAGTGGCGGTAGCAGCTGCATGTCTTTTCTTTATTTATTAAGCTAGGTTTGTATTGTACATTGGCTTCTTCACAACATGTGCAGTAATCTTGGCTTTAATTCCAAGAGGCTCAATTATTTAATGTTACTTTTTCTGAGTGTGTGTAATACTGGGAATCCTGCTATTTAAGCATGTGGCACTGCTAGCCTCCTTCTCTGTTGGATTCAGGTCTCTGTTAAAACTTGCACTGGGGGAAGAGGGAGTGGCGGAGAGAGACTCTGAGAGCCAGGAATTTTCTGCCTTCTGATCCCAGCTCTGACATACTCTTTCTGTGGCTTTCGGCAAGTCACTTAGCCACTCTGCCTCAGTTTCCCTATATGTAAAATAGGGATATAATAATACTTACTAACCACCTCACCAGGGCGTTGTGAGGATTAAATAATATTTGAGATGCACCTTAGAGATGAAGAGCTCTAGCTAAGTGCAAAGTATTATTATGAGACTCTTGTGTGGTCTTTTATTTTTTTTTCCTGTTTTCCTTAGGCAGAAGGAGCTGTGAAAGCATCTGCCATTTTCAGCCAGACTCTTCTCATCTCTCTTCAGAAAGCAATTCTGAATTAACAAAGCCTTAATCATCTTGTATTTGAGTATGGATGAGGTTTAAAAAATAATTATCAGCTGAAACGTGATCAGATTAATGTTTGCTCTCCAGCTAAGACTTCAGACCTGCAGAGCCGTCCTTAGGGGACAGCGAACCAGGGCAACCGCTCCCGGCCCCGCACTTTGGGGGACCACGTGGGCTGGCGTGATTGGGCGGCGGGTGAACCGCTGGCTGGGGGAGGGAGAGCCCTCCACCCAAGGGAGAGCCACGCTTGGCTGTTTGGGAAGGCACAGCCTCCCCTACCCGCTCCCAGCGTGGTTGGTCCCAGAAGTGATGTCACTTCCGCCCCAGTCCCCGCACCTCCCTAGGGATGGCCCTGCAGACCTATCTACTTCTCACTAAAGTTAAACAGTGGGAGTGACATGAGGCAGGGGGAGCAGGAGCTATTCTCAAGTCTCAGCCACCGAGCAAAGATCTAGACCTGTTCTCCAAACAAGAAGTATTTTTAAGAGAAGGAAAATCTATCTCTAGATCATTTGTGCCGCAGCTTCCAAGCATCAGAAACGGTTCACTCTTTACTAGCCCCGAAAAGGGAAATATGATCTCTTATTTTGTCAAGCCACCAGCTAATTGATACACAATTAACACCGATGACTTTCCCAACCCTAATTCAGAGCCTATTTCTGCCTGGCTGTGGATAGACATCAAATTTAGGCTTTATTTCATTTTTTAGATGGAAGGAGAGAAGTCTTAGCAAAAGCTCCAAGTGTCCTTGAATCAGCTGCAGCAGCAATTATGAGCAAGTGAAGAGAAGCAGGGATCCAAATGCCCGTCGAGATTGGGAGCTGGGTTCTAGCTCAAGGCAGTCTGGCTGGTGCAGCCTGGCGAAAGATCATAGGGCATGTGTATCTCTGTTGCTGAACATGTTGATGCCTTCAGCTAAACTGAAAGGGTGGGTAGACTCCTCATCCCCAGCATTACTGACTTACTAGAAGCTAATGTCTATCTCTGAGCTAAATGGGAATCCAGCCCTCATTTAATGAACAGCAGGAGAAATAATGGAAGAGAAGGCCCCAAGCTATCATCTGCATTATAAAAGGCAAGGAGGGTGAACAGTTGTACTTTCAGGCAGTTCTTTCAGGAGTTCTTGCCCTCTCACTTGCTATCAAACCTATGGTCTGGCAGGTGTTTGGGCTCTGCTTCCAAAGACTTGTCTAGTGGGGGTGCCAGTTCTGTCTCAGAGGAGGTATTCCTTTCCCATTCCTTTGCAGACATGAGATGCTGAAAAAGGCAGGAGACTCGAGGTACCCATAGTCTTGTTGTGATGGACCTCAAGATTACAACCTCCCTCAATTAGCAGCTACAAATTAAGACTTTCTGGGAAGATTCCATAAACATAGAACGTTCATCTGAGTGAGTTTCGTTCAAAGACAGACATGTCTCTTCTCATATGATTAGTGCAAAACTGCCTCTTAATGACAACAGTACCCATAGTTCCCTTGGGGGTGATTCAGCATTCCCATTCTTCATTACAAAACACTTCTTAGCATGTGTATGTGCCTCTGACCATTTTGGATGTTGAGGTGGGTGTTGAGGCAGGTACTTGAGATCTCAGCCCTGGGAATCAGAACTTCATGGCAATATTGGATCAGTTCTAGCAAACATCCACTTAAGTTTCTTTATCTGTGTAACTTCTACAATACTGGCGTACCTTGCAGGGCTGTTGTGAGGATTAATTTAAGGTGTACAAAGTGCTCTGAGTTCCTTTGACTAAAGGTGCTAGAAAGAGGCATGGTATCACTATTATTCTTCCTAGTGTTCTGCTTCACTTAGGCTAACTTTGGTCCTGTTGCCCCTCTCTCTCTCTCTCTCTCTCACACACACCCCTCTCATGTGGCCAAGGTTGTCTATGGCTAGGTTGAATTTCTTCTGTGGAGATTCCAGTTCCCTTACTGTCTTCCATGGTTTGCATAAAGCTTGCACGCTAAACACAAGGGGCCAGATTTCTCTTTGGTGTAACTCTTTTGCACTTCAGGGAGTTACACCATGGAGGAATTGGGTCCTTTGGCTTTTTCTTCCCAGTCACTGTATGATGGCCTGAACTGAACACAGAAGTGTATTAGAAGGGAAGGTTTGGTGGAGGAGGGAAAATGTCACAAAAGCACTAATCATTTCCACTTTAATACACCCATGAACCTTGGAACTTGAGCACTTAATATAGATGACTGGATAACAAATATGTGTTCAGCTGGAGTCATGGGATAAGATAGGAAGCAAAGGGTAGAAATAAACGGTTAGTTTTCACAGTCGAGAGAGGTAAATAATGGAGTCCCCCAAGGATCTGTACTGGGAGTAGTGCTGTACAACATACTCCTAAATGATCTGGAAAAAGGTAAACAGTGAGGTGGCAGAGTTTGTAAACAACACAAAATTACTCAAGATAGTTAAGTCCAAAGCTGACTATGAAGAGTTACAAAGAGATCTCACAAAACTGGGTGACTGGGCAACAAAATGGCAGATGAAATTCAGTGATAAATGCAAAGTAATGCACATTGGAAAACATAATCCCAACTATACATACAAAATGATTGGGTGTAAATTAGCTATTACCACTCTAGAAAGAGATCGTGGACTCATCATGAATAGCTCTCTGAAAACATCTGCTCAATGTGCAGCAGCAGGCAAAAGCTAACAATGTTAGGAACCATTAGAAAAGGGATAGGTAATAAGAAAATATCCTAATGCCTCACTATCATCCATGGTAAACCCACACCTTGTATACTGTGTGCAGTTGTGGTAGCCCCATTTCAAAAAAGGTATATTAGAATTGGGAAAAGCACAGAGAAGGCAACAACAGTGATTTTAGGGGCATGGAACAGCTTCTGTAAGAGGAGAGATTAAAAAACTGGGACTGTTCAGGTTGGAAAAGAGACTAAGGGGCGATATGATAGAGGTCTATGAAATCCTGAATGGTGTGGAGAAAGTGAACAGGAGAGTATTATTTTCCCCTTCACATAACACACGAACCAGGGGTCACGCAATGAAATTGATAGGCAGCAGGTTTAAAACACATAAGGAAGTACATCACACATTGCACAGTCAACCTGTGGAACTCATTGCCAGGGGATGTTGTGATGACCAAAATAAGTTCCTGGAGGATAGGTCCATCAATGGCTATTAGCCAAGATGGTCAGGGAGGCAACCCGATACTCTGGATGTCCCTAAACCTCTGACTGCCCTAAGCTGGAACGGGACAACAGAGGATGGATCACTCGATAAATTGCCCTGTTCTGTTCACTTCCTCTGAAGCATCTGGCATTGGCCACTGTCAGAGGACAGGATACTGGGCTGAGTAGACCACTGGTCTGACCCCGTATGGCCGTTGTTATGTGGTGTTGGTCAGTAAAAATGGCTCTCTGCTCTTGGACTCTGACAACCCTCCTTTATGTTAGTATTCACCTTACTTCATGACCTCAGTAGATCTTATCAGTGGGGCACATTTGGGTTGAATTCTTCCACGAGGCTCCCGGTGGCACAGTCATATAAGTTTGGCAGCCTGTCTGTATGCAGTGCAAAATGTGAATGTTGCTATGTAGACCTCAAATTCTCAATGCTTCATTAACAGATTCTGTTGAAACAGCTGTGATAAATCAATTGCTATTAGCACTCTGATTTTAAAAATATTTAAGTTTTTATATTTTAGTATTTTTTTTATTTTAAAGCACAACGTATTTTGATATCACTTTTGCTGAGTCAAATGAACAAAGAATTGCTGATCTCCAAAAAGTTACATCCTTGTAGTTGGTAGGAAACCTTCTGCATGTTTTTTTCATATGTTTCTATGCTTTTATTTACCCAAAGGTTCTAGTGTATGAAAGGGAAATTCATATGGAAGTGTGGGGAAGGGTGCTGATGATTGATGACAGAGATTTGAGTTAATGTTGGAATTTGCTGATTTCTTCTAGATGTCTGGATACTGTGTGCATTAATAAAAATGGTTTTTTTCAGGATTTTTTGACTGTTGAAATGTATTGCCCATTGCAAGTGCTGTTGAAATGGGGGCAGTACTGTAGGGTTAAAGATTTGTAGCTAGTCTAGTTCTTGCTATATAGAATCAGCAGCATTCATCAGGGCTTTTTAGCGATCCTTCATCTGGAATCCCGGAAATATTGTGCATGTCTCTGACAGGCTCTGAGCAGGCTCTGTCACACTCCCACAGGTATGCTGTCAAGGATCTCTGTATTGGACTAAACCATCTGGTGATGTGATGGCATCATCGCTATCCTATGCTTCCTGGACTGTTTGCCATTTCCATAAATACAGCCCCCAATCTAAGCCCGTTTGCATGGAGAAATGCCAAGCGGTAGCATCAGTTCATTTTGCAGTATCTCCCAATAGTTCACCTTGCAGATCACTGCCCTTATATGACACATGGTCTGTTGCATTTTGCCCTTTTGGGTGCAATATACTCGAGCAAGTTTACTCCTTATTGACGACTCATTTCAAATAGCTTTATTGTACAGTGTAACCCTCTTTAATGAACTCATGGTCATCCCAAAGTAGGTTATGGTCTCTGGGATTTACTGAGGAGGACAGGCTTCCTGCCCCCCTTAGACTAAATGCCTGTTTATTATTGCCTTGTCCTGTCCCCGCCCCAGACCTTCATACAGTACAAGGTCTGCCCTCCCTTCTGGTTTTGGCTGAATGTAGGGAACTTACACCCTTTTTTTGGTGGGTCCCACTCTCCTAATTTTGCCGGCAGCTTTGATTCTCCCTATACAACACCTATGTACTTCTTACCTGAGGGGACCTCTGCCGTTTATTTCCAAGTGGCCAATATGGGGTGAATTCCCAGTTCTTATGTGAAAGGCAGCTGCTGCTCAAAGGGGCCTAGCTACCAAACAGTGGTGATAAAACCTGTCCAACCTGTTTGCAGAGGCCACTTCCTTGTGAGTGCCACAGCAGGGAATTCTATGTTGTCCCATACCGTGGGACTAGGAGTGGCAGCTTAGGTCTAGAGTGGCCCAGCGTAAGGACAAAACCAGCCCAGCAAGTGCTGTATGATGTCCTGTAATGCATGCTAATGGCTCTTCTAGTGTTCGGTCAAATAGCGAGAAGCAAGAACTCATAAATGAGAATCACCCCACCTATATCTGTGTAGCCAGGTCGGAGATCTTGTAAATATGAGGAAACATACGTACACTAATCCTACCCAGTTGTAGAATGTGCAGACAAGGCTGGGGCAGTCTTTACAGGCATAGCTGAAGGAAGGTAAGTGTATGCTGTTTCTCCAAATCAAACACCTACCAGCCTTATCTTTAGCACAACTATTTATTAATGCTGTCTCCCTGTCACTCGGACGTACAGCCCGGGTGAAAGTGAGGCAGTTAAACAGTGGTTTAGAACAGTGGTTCTCAACCAGGGGTATGCAGAGGTCTTTGAGGGGGTACATCAACTCATCTAGATATTTGCCTAGTTTTACAACAGGCTACATAAAAAGTATTAGCTAAGTCAGTACAAACTAAAATTCCAGGGGCTTGTACTAGGACCAGTCCTAGTCAACATATTCATAAATGATCTGGGAAAGGAGTAAACAGTGAGGTGGCAAAATTTGCAGATGATATACAACTACTCAAGATAGTTAAGTCCCAGGCAGACTGCGAAGAGCTACAAAAGGAGCTCACAAAACTGGGTGACTGGGCAACAAAATGGCAGATAAAATTCAGTGTTGATAAATGCAAAGTAATACATATTGGAAAACATAATCCCAACTATACATATAAAATGATGGGGTCTAAATTATCTGTTACAACTCAAGAAAGAGATCTCGGAGTCACTGTGGA